GATGACCCATCACTAGTTTCCCATAAATCCAACAATATCAAATAATTACACAACACATGTTATCACCAAAATAAATAATTAAAAGTATATTAAATTTGGATAACATCACAACTAATAGGTATGTACCATTAGTACCTATAGTTTGTATTATTTTGATGTGCTGATTTCATTTTATATTTATTTTGGGGTTGAGTCTCCTCAGTGAAAGTTAATCTGATGTTGGGGAACAATATAGATGACCTGTGCAAATGTTGGGAGAATATGGATAAAAATTTGAAATTACAAGGGTAGAGTTAAATGCCTAACTGTTTCTTACATATTCTGTATTATAGTAACAGTGTTGAGATGAAATATCATTGCTTTGGCTGCTTCTTTTTAATTCAAAACTGTTGTGAAAAGCAATGCTGTCATGGTATAAGTTCCACGTGAAATTTGATTAATTGTTTCTGATTGCTGCATATTGCTTTGTTCTCTACTCCATTATAACTGCAGTTTTCTCATTGAGGTCAAAGTGTATCGGTGTTGGATAATCGATGTATAAATTATAGATTTCAAATCACTTATTCAATTATACTGAACCTTCTTATAATGTCTTTATTCTTATCTAAAGTTTTTCTTGTCATTAAATTTCATAGGTATAGCTTTCAAGTTCCTTTATTTAAAAACAAGCAATCTACATATTATATAATAAACCCTAGGTACTTTCAACAACAGTCATTTATAATAACTGTTATAAAATGTTATTTGCCTAAAGGTATATACCACCACAGTTAGTTAAAGAAACTGTGATCATATATAGCACACCTTCAGGTTTTCTACAACAGTTGTAAGACCGTGATTGTAAGTTGTGCATATACAACCACGCCTTACGTAATAATGGCATTGTCACGCGTGATGTTATCCTTTTTCCAACCGTTGTTGTATATGTTTTCCGTAGTAGTGATGTTATGAGATAAGAAAATATAATGGGCATTGGTTCATACAATTCAACAAACACTTTGTGGGAAAACTAACAAAACAACTAATCTTATAGCATTTTCTTCATAATAGAAGTCAATACCGTCTATTAAATAACATATGATACATTAGAAAATCAAATCATAGGAAACAAAAATAAAATAACCTAACGAAAATCATTGCAGCAGCGATGACAGACAGTGAAGGGCGACACGTCGTTGAACGATGATGGAGTCGCAATTTGAATTTTTAATGTAGAAATACGTGTGATGTGACAACATGATGATGATGATGATGACGACAATGGAGGAGGAAAAGATATAAGAGATAGTGATTTTGTAATAGAGAGAGGTTGTTGTTGTGATTGTAATTGAGAGTGGGAGTGTAAGTGTGAATCTAAGAGTGAATGTTTGGGATGGAAAGAGAAAAGGAATAGGTGATGGAGAGGAAGAAAGAAATTCGAAATGATTTACCTTTTGTAGGATATGAAAATCTAACATTTGTTGTGGAAATGAATAGATATGCCCTTGTGAAGACCTCTTTTTATTGTGCAGCAATGCAATAATTTAATCGTGTAGGAGTGAAATTGAAAACATATGAAGGTAATATGTGACTCTTGGATATTTGAAAAATGTATTACCAATGTAAATAATGATTGCAATGATTTAATGATACGAAAATTACCATTTAGAACATAAAATTAGTCCTCTAAGACCAACTCCAATGGGAGTTCTTAGAGTGGGTTTACCAACATGGCACTCATATTTGTTGTTTTCAAGATGAAAAAGTTCTTAAATATGCAACGGTTCTTCAATGGTTCTTATATTAAAATATTAATTTTATAATATAAAAACTATAATTTGATATAAAATTTTATTTATTATTTTAATTATCATTTTAATTAAAATTTAAATATTTAAATTATAATTTTAAATAAAATAAATTTAATATAAATAATATTTTTTAAGTAAAGTGGTGGGACCCAATATAGATTCTTTAGAGTTGCACCAATGGAGTGAAAATTGAATGAGTTGCTTTAAAAGAGTGGGTTCCACAAAGAACCTAAAAATGGGTTGCACCATTGGAGATGCTCTAATTAGTTTTGATTTGGTTAATAATGTAATAATGACAATATTCAACTTTTATACATTGATAGTAGACACTAAAAGCCCACAATTCCCCGACTATTGTTGTAACTGGAACATCATATGAAGAAAGTGGGTCTTTTCCAAAAAAAATTCTCATCAAAATTTAAAATTAACTTTATAATCAAATGCAACCAATGTAACCTAAAAGTGATTGTGGTTTCATGGTAGTATAAAAAAATAAAACTTTTTAAAATATGATTAGTGTGGTTTTCTCTTTATAATTAAATCTTTTAGTTTCCCTATTTACTTTCCTCCATATTTATACTTATACATTGTTTTTATTGTTATGCATTGCTTGCGGCATGGTTTAGATTAAAATACCTTCATATGGCCATTGGTGCTTTAGCCTCGCCCGCTCCAATTTTCTATATTGAAGATATTGTAGACCCAAATGCATTTATGGACGTTGTTTCAAAAGACTTTGAAGTAATTTTCCATAGTTTATTTTTCGGTTAAAATATGTGCTTTGGAAAAAAATTTCAAGAAAAGAACAATTAAGTTCTTACTTTATGAATAACATGTTAAAATTTTAGAGTCATAATTGTAATATTACATGTGTTAGGGTCATTATGTAGTTAGACAAGGCTATAATAGTTTAATTAATAACAAGTTTGTAGCTAAAATTATAAATATCATGAAACGTAAGATTAATGTGTAGAAACCATAAGTCAATATCTAATTTGATGATCGGTCAAATTAAAATATTAAAAATTAAGAAATAACCCTAAGGTAATTTATAGGGGTTATGATCCCTATTTGTAGAGAACACAAAACAGTTTATAAGAAATTCTCTCTTCATCCCCATCAGAGGAGAATCAATGAGTCATAGAGGAACTCTACAAATGGGGATGAAGAGAGAATTTCTAATAAGCCGTTTCGCGTTATCTACAAATGGGGACCATAATCCCTATAAATAACTCTATAAATTAGGACAAACTGGAATGGTACTTAGGTGTACCAGGTGCAGACAAACTGGACACAATAAGTTAACCTGTAAGAGGACTCCTTCAACACAGTCATCTCAGCCACCATTTCAACCCACTCAATTAAAGACTACACAATCATCTCAGCCACCAAGTCAAACCACTCAAGCAAGGGATACACACTCATCTTAGACACCAACTAAAACAACTCAAGCAATGGCTACACACTAATCTCAGCCACTATCTCAAACAACTCAAACAAGGGTTACACACTTATCTCAGCCACCATCTTAAATAACTCAGTCATCTATTACACAGTCATCTCAGTAAGGAGGGGGCCAAAGAAGTTACCTGTTAGGAAACCAGTTCAGTCATTTGTTACAAAGGGTCCAACTACCAGGCTAAGTGCATCACAAAATGCAGTTGGACCTACCACTATGAGGACCACTCCAACAAAAAGAAACAATCCAAAGAAATGCATTTAGTCATGTTTATATTGTAACAATCTTATGTAATTTATGTTTTGAGAACATGATTTATGCCATGTCTGTTTTGAGACAAGGTTTATGTCATGTCTGTTTTTGAGACGAAGTTTATGTTATGTCTGTAACAAATTATGTCATGTCTGTTTTGAACAAGAATTATGCAAGGTTTGAATAATGTTATTTTGAACAAGGTTTAATCAAGTGAAAGTTTATCATTCAATTATAATTTTTTTTTGTAAATTTATCATTCAATTTATACAAGTATATGCAAGTTTGAACACTGCATAAAACATTCATGTAACTAAATAATGTCAAAATCATGCAAGTTTGAATATTGCATAAAACATTCATAAAATATTCAAGTTTGAACACTGCAAGTTTGAACGGGTGCAACTAAATAATGTCAAAATCAACTCTTACATAACACATTCATGAACACAACATAGAACATAACCTTCCAACTGTTACAACAACTTGAATACTAAAACAAAGAACACAACATAGAAAATAAACTTTCAAAAATTTTTCCACTTGATGGTGCTCTTCATAGTATCTTCTAATTCCATATTATTGAGTCTGAATAATTCAACCTCTTTTTTGCCTTCCTCCATCTCTTGAGTTAACACATCTATCTTACTTTGTTGCTTTATCTTGATTTACTCCTTTTCATCTCTAATTTCTTCGTAGAACCATCCAAAGAGTCCATAACCAGCATTACTATATCCATGTAGAGATTAAGAAAGAAAATTACAATGTAATAAAAAGACATTTCAACGATATTTCAACCTAGAATATTTAGACCAAAGTTTACCTTAAAATGTTGACAACTCCAAAACAACTTTCCATAATTGTTGACAGTTCTTGCCCTTCGAAGTACAGTCTCCACTCTCCACAACGAGAAAAAGACTTCCATGAAATATTAGAGCTGCTAAATACATGCGAATCATTTCTGTTTTTCGATGATGATGATGATGAACAATGGGCAACACTCATGATTAGTGCACTAATGTAGACGAATTAGGTTTCAATTTGAAGATTTCTTACACTATTCAACAACGAAGAAGAAGAAAGTGATGAATAAGACAATCCACCTTAGCTGCCACGTCCTTTCTGTCTAACGTCGTTTTTATTATTTGACAGAAAAACTTGTTTAATTATGTTTGACAACATAAGAGATCAAATTAGCCGTTTTAAAAAAAAGAAGAACAAAATAGATCCAAAGATGTTATAAATAAGGGTCTAAAAAAGATATTAAACCTAGTATTTTTGACATTTGATATGAGTAAGTATGAGTAACATAGGGTGTAATGAACCATAGTTTCAATGAAACTTTGGCCCAAACAATAGAAGTTGGTTAAACGGAATATCCGAATTTCCGCGGGTACGAGACAAATGGATAACAGGTTTCAAGTAACAACCATATACATATAAAATGAAGAGAAAAAAGAAAAAAAAAATTGTATTGTGGTTGAAAATTTGGAAAGAAAATGGCGATGGCTTCTATGGCATTTTGCGTGAACTCAGTGAGCTTTCAGAATCGTCGCCGATATAACAGGTTACTCAAAATTCGTTCATAGTTTTCTTTTCTCTTCCATTTTTTTTGTGCTTGTGATAATCAATTGATTTAACTATTATTTTTTACGATGTAGTGGAATGGTATTTGCGAGTTTGGGAAACAAAGAAGCAGCTACTTTGGGAGTTAGGGTTACAGAAGGTGAGGGAAAATTGCCAAAACTCGTTCTCTCTTCTCCGGCTGGTAGGTGCGTGATTCTATGCTTTTTTTGTGTTTGTTTGTTTTGAAGTTAATGGTTAAGTAGAATTTATGTGTGGAATTTGTGTTTGATTGCAGTGAGGCTGAGATATATTTGTTTGGTGGTTGCATTACCTCTTGGAAGGTTCCCAATGGCAATGACCTTCTATTTGTTCGTCCTGATGCTGTTTTCAATAAGAAGAAACCAATAAGGTTCTTAGTTTTGATGAATTATTCTATCTTTTACTATGAACCACTGACACAGACACAGACACGAACATTGAACATCAGATACATACTAGACTCTTTTGATAAGTAGATATCGGTAATAATTTGGATGGTGCTACATATTTATTGCATTGTGGTTTACTAATTTTTGGATCTCTTGGATACTGATTAGTTATTTTACTGGAACAGTGGAGGAATTCCGCATTGCTTTCCGCAGTTTGGTCCTGGTGTAATTCAGCAGGTATGTTCCTTTATTCAATGCTAGTTTCTTGTGGTTTATGTTATTCTGTTTTTCAAGGTTGCATGTGTTCAATTCAAAAATTATTTGATGGCTAATTGGTTTTCGTATAACGGCTTAAATGTTACTTTATGTAGCTTAGTGAAAATAGAAATGGCAAGTTTGGTGCTTCTGTTTAGTTAATGAAACTTGCTTCTCTTCGACAAAATCATTAGTAGTGTTGTAATGATAACTTGTTAATGTTTACTTGGTTGAGTTTTTGGCAGCACGGATTTGCAAGGAATGTGGATTGGACTGTTGGTGATTCTGAGAATGTGGAGGGAAATCCTGTTGTAACTCTGGAACTGAAGGATGATTCCTATAGTCGGGCTATGTGGGATTTCAGCTTCCATGCTTTATACAAGGTGAAGAAGGGATTGTTTTCTTCAGGCACAGCTCACCTTTTCAATACATTACTAGATTATGCTTGGGAGTACTCGTTCTTATGTGACCAAATCATGATGTAATTTCATGCCTCCCTTTTTTGCAGATCACACTAAATGCTAAAAGTCTTTCAACGGAGTTAAAGGTTAAAAATACAGACAATAAGGCGTTCTCATTCAATACTGCTTTGCACACATATTTTAGGGTAAGTGACAAAGGTCGTAACTTTGAATAATCCCTATGGAATTATCTAACGGGGATTTCCTATTTGCGTTTGAGTATAATTTTATTGCTTACACTGCCTTTTAAACTAGTGAAAGTAATCATTTTGTCATTACACCCAGGCTTCTGTAACTGGTGCATCAGTTAAGGGGTTAAAAGGTTGCAAAACACTGAACAAACATCCAGATCCTAAAAATCCAGTTGAGGGTAGCGAAGAAAGGTCTGTATCATACTTTATGTCTGGGAATTCTTAAATTGAAATTTGACATGGTAACTACTTGTATGGGATGGGAGAAAGAAATTTGTAACTACTGAAATTTGCAACTACTGAAATTTGCTTTCCCTTAGTCCTTGTGGTTGGGTAAAAGTTGTACTACCTATTATGCATTTTCTTGTGCATAACCGTTGTATGTTATATAAGACAGTTAGTGACAGAAAAACCCACCCTCTTAATCTCCCTCATTTTGTCTGAATTTGAACTAGAATTTTGTAACATTTAGCTCATATAGTGGCTAATGTTTTAGTCTGGTTTCTTCCAATTTTCATCTGTCACATTAGTCACCTCTCATCTAATGCACAAGTATATATTTTTTTCTCAACACAATCCTTGTAAGACCAAAATTCCATTGAATGATATATAATCGAATCTTGTAATTCAGTCTCTTAATTTAGATTAATAGACTATCTTCGTAATGCAGGGATGTGGTCACTTTCCCAGGATTTGTAGATTGTGTTTATCTTGATGCTTCAAATGAGTTGGAGCTTGATAATGGATTGGGTGATACAATATCTATCAAGAACACAAAGTATGCAATTTTAACCTTGTATTACAATTTTACTATTTGCTTGCCGAAGTCATGTGCTTACACTCCATTGCCTCTTATGTAGCTGGTCAGACGCAGTGTTGTGGAATCCTCATCTTCAAATGGAAGCATGTTACAAAGATTTTGTTTGCGTTGAAAATGCTAAGGTAATGAGTTTACAAACTTCATAAAAAGGCATCAACGACAGCATCCTGTAGCATTATGATATCTGGAATAATGTTTAAGCTTTCTCTATTTTTTCTTCTGAGCAATAATTTCTATTATTTTTAATGCTTCAGATTGGAAGTGTCCAGTTAGAGCCAGAACAAACTTGGACAGCTGTGCAGCATCTTACCATTGCATAATCAGTAACTGCGGCTCTCTGTTTTGCCAAGTTTGGATTTGCGATTACTTTCAAACTCTCACTTCCAAATGCTATTTGGCCATAGAAACGCTGAAGCTACAACTTCTTGCTTTTGCTAAACGTGTGATGGAAACGAGATTCCAAACTGCCACGTTATCGATTATGTTTTGTCTTAATTTGATTTTCCAACAATATGTATCTTCTCTTCTGTATAACAATTTACTAAGTCGCTAATAGGTGGCTAGTTGTGAGGGATATGATAATTTGCGAGAGGTCATATTTAAAGTATTGAAGTCAAACCTCATTACATATGTAAACATTGTTGTAACAAACAAAAGGTGTAATAATTATCTCTTCTTTCATTTTTAATCTTTTCCACACAATGAAGACTACATTTTTCTTATTTGCTGTAGAAGACTACATTTTTCTTATTTGCTGTAGAAGACACAGAGCTTCTTTGTGCACGCCTGTCCTAACAAAGCCAAAAATAATGGTTGCCCAAGAGATGACATTATTCTTTGGCATATAACTTTAAAAATCCTGATGACCATGTCTACATTTCGACATTTTATATACCCGTCAATCATTGTATTGCTAAAAACAATGTCTTGCTCAGGAAGCAAATTGAGGACTTGTTTGTTGCGGAATAATTTTTATATTCAATAATTTAGAGATTAAACTTTAGAGATTTTTCTAAATAGCATAAGAGAATATGCTAGGACCTGTTTACTGTAGCTTTGGATAAGATATTTTTGTAGACCAAACACTCATGTTTCACTTGAACTTCCTAGGTTGTTTCCATAATGTTAAAAGACAAATTTTCTTAAACGAATTACCCTAGTTATGACTGCTATTGTAACTTCATTTTGATCCACTACATGATAGTGAGAATTACCCTAGGCGCAATTTATGAATGATGATAAAACTAGCATACAAACAAACAACCACAACAAAAAAGTAACAGAAGCATACAAAATATACTGGTATTTCTCAATCAATATCATTCAACAAAATTTAGTTAAAGTGAACAAATTTGAACCAAGTAACAGAACATTATAGAGGAAGGAAAAAAACAGCTTTACACAGTCTTAAAAACTCTAAACAACTTCCTCAAACATTCAAGAAGACACCATTGCAATGATACACACCAGCACTACAATTAACAAAACAGCAATTACCCAATAGATCCATTTCCTGTTCCTCTTCTTCAACTGGCTTGCATAATAAAGATTATTAGTTCCACCATGAATGTAGTGACCAGCATTCACCACATTATCTTCAATGTTATCCACTTTTTCTCCTTGAGTCTCAACCAAAATAGCCATATCAAGAAAAACCTGATGAAGCTTATTCAAACTCCTCTGAATATCCATCACCGCCTCGTGCCTAACCTGAGTACCCATATCAGCATCCGTTTTCCCAGCCAAAAACTCAACTTTGAGACTCCCCGATATCATCTTCTCCATAACCTCATCACTAGGTACCTCACCCGTTACAGTATAGTACCTTCTCTTCAAATCTTCCTTATGATCCGACACAATCTTGTCCCTTAAAGACTGAAAATCATTCATCATGTCCCTAAGCTTGACCTTCAAACCACTTGTGACAGACACTCTTGTTCTATCAACAGGACTTCCTTCTCTGTAGCATTCTGACATGCTTCGATTCGCGACGTTTGATTTTTGAAGAGCCTCTAACCTTGCCTTGATTACATTCGCCTTGCGAAGCACGGCAACCATATCAGAATCCATTCGGTCTCTTAGCCCGCGTAAAACTTTTGCACTGTGAGTTGATTTTGTCTCTTCATTCAGTTGCTGAAGATCTGTCAAGAGATTGGTGATCTCTTCCATTTCGATCTTGATTGCTTCAACTTCTTGGAAGAATTGAGAGAGATTAGGGTCTTGTGTTGGGTTGAGGTTCCCTAGTTCAATGTCAGGATCTTGTTGAAAATCCTTCTGTGCCTGTTTCTTCAATTCTACATAACTTAGAAACGATTTTGTCATCAAGTCATTCATCTTTGCAACGTTTCTCAAAACTCCACCTTCAAAACAAAAAAAACAAACCAAAACCATTACAACGAAAACCCCCACAAAAAAAAAAATCTTGAACTGAAGCAAGACAACATTGTGATGCATACAAACATACCCTTTCGCGGGAATATTCAAGAAATGAGTAAATTTCTGAAAAGATTAAACTTTTTGTCACGAAGTAATGCTCCAAGTGATCTAGCAGAAAGAGAAGAAAACAGTAAAACCAAAACTGGAAGATTAAAAATAGAATCTTTAGTGTGTGAATGTGATGAATATAGAAATGGGTCGTTATATAAAGTGATGAACATTAATATTATTAACAAAGAAAAGAAAAGAAAACGTGAAAGAAGAAGAAGAAGAAGAAGAGTGTGATAGGAAAGAACCTTGATGAAAGGAACCAACGTTGTTGTTGTTGTTGTTGATTTTTCCTAATGATGATCCTTTTGAATAGCAATTCAGTGAGAGAGAGATTGTGATGAAAATGTTGAATGCAGTTTTGAAATTTAGAATCGGTTTGGTTAGTGTTAGAATATATTTGAAATAGGGTTTAGAGAAAATGTCCGTTGGGTTGGTTCGTATGAGTATTGCGAAATGAAACGTAACTGTTGGAGACTTGAGCTCAACTTACATCATTCATGGAATATAAATGGTCTCTCATTGCTTTTCAAAAATGATTGTTGACTAATTTAAATGTTAAGAGTTATAAATAAAAAGAAAAAAAACGTATTTACTTTATCACAAAATTTATGTGATTTTTTTTAATAGAAAGTAACGTGAATAATATTAATTAAATGATATAACTGAAAAAAGAATTATATTGTATACTAAAATAATGTTAGTTATCTTGAACAATTTTCTATGAATAAGTCAATTAAATTGAAAGAGGTGAATATGAAAAACACCAATATCATTTTGGGGAGAAATATTTAATAAAATATTATTTAAATATGAGTTAACGAAGATAGAATAAAACTTTTACAGCGTCTTCCAATAAAAATATATTATTTTAATTTAAAAATTTCAGTCTAATTTAATAAGATACATAATCATTAATGTAAAACTAATAATCAATGTATTTCTCATTTCTATTCTCTTTTAAAATGTTCACTGACTACAAAATATTTATTTTTAGATCAGTCAACTATAACATTAAATTATTAGAAATATTTGACTCTAATAAAAAATTACTTCACATATGAATGATTGCAATTTATTGACGGTATACTAAAAGTCTTACTACAATAAATTATATTTAAAGGTATTTATATATTTTGTTTTGGAAATTTCAAAACTCAAAGCTAAAACTAATTTTAGGTCTTGGTTTTTTGTTTTGAACATTTTAAAAATTAAAGTTAATTTCGATTTTAAGTTTTAAAACCTTCAAAATCAAAATTAATTTCAATTTTAAGTTGTAAATTTTCAAAAATAAAAATAATTTTAAATATAAATAAACATATCTTAATTCATAATAATAAATTTACAAAATAATAAAATTGTTTGATAGTAATTTTAATAATAGTGGCTAAAAGTGGTAAATATCGATGAATGCATGATAGAATGGTGATTGTTGATAGTCAAAGTGATGGTTGTTGTTGATGATCAACAATGGTTATTGGAAAAGACATAAATTATTTTATTGTAATAAAACAATTTATGTCTTTTCCTTCTCTATATAATAAGCTAAAGACTTGAAGAATAAATAGAACTATTGACATTTAAAGAGTTGTTACTCTGTCAACATAAACACGTGTTTAACTTATGATTTCTTATATTTGTATATCTTAAAAATCTTCGAGTCTTAAAGAGTCTTCTTGTATTGTATTTTGTCTACATCTGATTGTATATCAAGTGTATCACCCAAAAATAATCTTTTATCTGTTATGTAGATTGTTAGAAGTCTCTTATTTAGTGTTTGAGCATTTGAAGTCTATTTCTTGTATGCTTGAGCATATGAAGTCTCTTGCTTATGTGTTTGAGCATTAAAAGTCTCTTACTTTGTGTTTGAGCATTGGAAGTCTCTTGCTTACGTGCTTGAGCAAATTATAATATATGTGATTATAATGAAGTTTCTTGGAAGTGCAAGGAGACTGAACTACTCTCGATTTGTGAGGAGAACTAGGATAGCTTTGTGTGTCTCGTTCTTTCTTTCATTCCTTATCTGCTACTTATCACTCAATTTAATTCAAACTCTAGACTTTGTGTTTAGAATCTAACTAGAGTTTTAAAAAGAAAGAAAAAAGTCTAACACAATTCAACTACCCTTCTTGTATTTTTCTCACCTTCAAAAAATTCATCTCATTCATAACCACAATCACATTGAAGATGTAATTAAGCACATTCTCATTGTTTTTTATGCTAAGATTCTCGTATTGCTTGTGTAGAGACTGCGACTTTACTTTCTGATCTGACTTGATCAGAAGGGAATCAATGGACCGCCACGCGTCTTCGATCTACTTCCTGTTCACCAGTGGTAAGAAGGAGGAGGGGGTATACTTACAAGACACTCGATGCCAAAATGAGAGAGGATCAGGGTGGAAGCAAATACAGAAGAGAGGTTAAGAGGTGAATTGAATACCTGACCCTCTTGTGAAAGAGGGTATTTATAGAGAGACTCCAGCGCAGGGCCAACGGTAATTTGAGTTGAGCTGGATGGTCAGGCCCAACCCAAGTGACTGCTAGGGCTTACGTGGCGTAGTGAAGATTGGGACGTGGTCTTCGCCCTAGGTCAACTGTCCCGTGATCTCCAAAAGGTGGGATGACCTACTCTTTTAGAGGTGGCTAGTTGTCTGATGACGTGTCCCCGCGGAGGGGAGCACGTGGAGAACGTGTGGGAAGGTCTGAGGAGTCAACCGGACAGACAGAGGTGGCTGGTCGAATGCAAGGGTCCTGCCCGACTAAGGAGAGGACAAAGGATGGCTGGTCGGCAGCGAGGGTCCTGCTCGACTAAGGAGAGGATAAAGGTTGGTTGGTCGACAGCGAGGGTATTGCTCGACGGATGTGGGTTTGTCCGACTAAGGAGAGGACAAAGACTGGCTGGTCAGCAGCGAGGGTCCTGCCCGACGGATGTGGGTCTGTCCAACTAAGGAGAGGACAAAGGCTGGCTGGTCGGCAGCGAGGGTCCTGCCCGACAACGGGGAAGAAGGAGGTTGTCTGGCCGAATGTGAGGGTCTTGCCCGACAGCTGTTGGCATGTGCCCGACGGGGAGGATGGTTGTGCCCGACAGGTCTTCTGCTCGTCAGCGTGGTTCAGACGGGTCCAACCGCAATGGGCTTTGGGCCTGCTAGGCAGTGAACTAAGCGTCGGCCCAGTCCAGAACACTTTCTTTACCAATGTGTCGCCACCACAGCACCTCGCAAGTGTATCTCACGTCGCCTTCATTGTCGTTGAGTCGACAATCTTCTTAAACACCTTAGTATCCACACATTGATGGATATAAAACAATATCTTCTGATCCTTCCTCCTCGTTTCACGTCGAATATTAGAAACTTTGTATTCAAACTACCGTTTTCGTCGTTCATCTTTGTTCTTGTGTAAATCGTTACATTCTCACCAACATTCGTCTTTCCCAATTCTTGAGAATCAAGATTGTGATTCTCTTCGATTTCCAATCTTCAATTCAATGTAAATTTGAGGAACGAAATCAATCGCACACCTCACATACACTAGCGTTTTCCATAAATCGAACCAGAGCTCTAGATATCAATTATTGGAGTTAACAATAAAACTCAATGTATGCACAAGAAGATGATGTTGCGAAAGATTGAAAGAATAGCGTGTGCGCGCGCCCACGCATACAGAGAGGAAAAATAATGCAACGAACTGTAACCGAATTTTTCAATCTCAAGAAACTCGATTTCTACCTTTAATTGTAACTAAATTTCAATTTATATATAATCATCCAAATTCAATGCAAATCAAATAAAACTGAAACTAAACAACTTGAATTTAAATTACATTTAACATTCATAACCGTAAAATTTTAAATTTAATTCAATAATGTTGCTTGATGTCACATATATAACATATGAAAATAATGTAGACATCATTTTATTAAAAACATTAATAAAACCAAGAAGCCTTTTGATTTGAAGCATTGTAATTTCTAGGGAAAATATAATACGCACTCTCATTATTTTCTCATCATTGTGAATCACTAATCTCGAGAAACTTGGATATATCTTATGAAACTAAAACATCAATCTTCAAAAATGTTTATTAATTTTTATAATATGTTGGATATACAATTCAATGGATATATTAATAAAATAAGGAGTGGTAACATAATTTTTTAATTCAACTATGCTTAATTTATTTCAACAAAAGGAAATTTTGCATGAATCCTCGTATGTTACAACACCACAGCAAAACGTGCGAGTAGAACGCAAGCACTAATATATGTTGAATGTATCTAAAGCTCTAAGGTTTCAAACAAATATTCCAATATATTTTTTAGAAGAATGTATATTGGTTTCCACTTATATCATTAACAAGACACTTACAATAGAAAATCAAGAAATCACTCCATATGAGAGGCTCTTCATCCGTTGAGAGTAATTGATTGTTTATTCTATGTAGGAACGCACTCTAAACAAACAAGTTTGATTCAAGAACAAAATAAGTACATCTTTATTTCGAGTATACAAGCTATGTGTTAGAAAACATGACACCCATAGAAGAGAAAGAAGAAAAGCTCAAATGTAGATTGTATTGATGAAAGTGAATATTGCATTCTAATGAGGTGTTGGTGATTTTAATACCATCAATGTATTTTAGTAGTAATGTGATTTACTGTAGGCCAATGCAATTATACGTTAAGCTTGGAAACGAGTTGGGGTAGTGCGGAGTGCACGCTCGTCGAGCCAATGTGCAATTGAATGCGAATAATTAAAAAGAGGTTCCAAGGGGTGGAGCCCCTGGCGGGGTGCGGGGCAGCGCCCCGAGCAAAATTTTTCTGAAAGTTTTTTGTTAAGTTTTGAACCCATTCGAAATTAAATTTGAAAAGATGAACTCGTTCAAAAATTTTGAACAGATGTCCCTTTTCGTTTTCTGTTATTTAATCTCCTATATAAAGAGTCATTTGACCTCAGTTTTACACACTGAACAAAATTCATATTTCTCTCTACATTCTTCATCTGTTTTCTATTGGCAGAATCATATTGTTCTTCAAAGAATTATCCCCACAAAGATTTCGTGAACCCAGACAAATAATATGGTCGAAATACTTTGTTCAAAATATATACGAACACAAATCCTCGAAGATATCCAAGATTATCACACAAAATTTCTAACATAAGATAGTTACATATAAACACTACAAAGCAGCAATTACTAATATCTTCCAATGAGGTGTTACATCTATATATAAGCGCCGTTAAACAGCAATTACTAATATCTTACTAACACTAACTTGTAAGTAATTTATATCTCTAATACTCCTCCGCATTACTTCCAATTTAAAATGAGCAATAAAAAAATATCAAATCAAAGAAAGATACACATAGAGATATCTTAAAAAAACATCGGTTGAAACTAATGTCATAAAGACAATAGCTTAACCATCAAATGCAAACCACATTTAAAGAATTATCCACTTGGAGGAAGCAACAATTAAATGTTTATATATTAAGTAGAAGTCACAATTCAAATCTTAACTAAACAAAAACAACAAAGCTTAATCACATAAGATAGAATTACAATAACAAAAGGCACAATATTTAACCCTCAAATTAATATTTTAAAAATTGGATCGGTCAACAAATTGATAAAGATATTAGATCACTGGATCACTAATTGAACTACGTAATTAAACGGGATAAAATTGAAAAACTCAATTGAATAAACATGTTATAACAAAACTATATAAGCATTAAAACGATCAAACCGAGTGACTCGATTTCTAAAAAAAATCACTAGCCCCTAAAAAAATTAAAAATATCGTAATTTCACATGTTTATAATTTAAATTCAAATTTTAAACATAAGTATTACACACAACAAAATATCACAAAATACAAATCGAAATAAAATTTAGGCAAAATCTAATTGCAACATAATTTAATCGCACAATTTATAACAAAATAACTTCAATCTCTCATAAATTTAATTTTAAGGAAAAAAAATTAATTCAATGTTGGGATCTTTTAAATTTAATTGATCTATAACAATATCAATTTAAAGAGTTTAACAATTGACATATAGTAATATAAAAAAATAACAAAATTGTAATCCTAAATTTGATTTTTTTGAGAAAAAAAAAAACAATTAAAACGACGATTCACTAAATCCGCCAATTTTCTGGTTTTCACCGATTCAATAACATAACATATCACACAATTGAACCAAACCAGTTACCTATCCGGTCCAGTCTGATTTTTAAAACATTGCCCCAAACTATACCTCAAAGTTTAACCATTCGATAGAAGCACAAACATCAAAGCCATTATAGACCGAACAAATAAACCATCCAAATTTTGATGTGTGTCTCGGAAGTTGCTTCCAATACCATGAAAAATACTTAAAGATTGCAATAAGCAACCTGTCCTAGAAAAATCTATGCCACTAACAAAAAACAGTCCAGCATTATGCAATTCCATTAAAAAACAACAGAGACAATTGCAACAAATATCTTCCTCATGTAACACTCAAAATACTCTGCAAGCGTTATAATTTCCAAACATAACAGCAAATCATAGAAGTGTTACATCTTGATCACCATAAACACACAAAAAATCCCCAACAACAAAGAAGTAACAAGTCACTAAAGTTTATCTTGAAAGTGCATTATCCTTCAAGAATACAAACTTCCAATTTCCTGTCATATCATTTTTATTAATTATGGACCAAGTATGATAATAAAGTAAGCCTCTTTGAGAACACACCAAATCCCGCGGTTGCCTTAATCTTGAGCAGACATTGTGCTCGAGCAGTCATGCGAGAACAAATTCATTGGGGGATAATCTCACCAAATGAAAGAATTGATTGCCTTTGATATCTGAGCATCCATAGCAATAAACAACACCATGCCACATAGTGATAACCAAGCCTTTCTCTGGGTTCCTTTTTTTAATGCAAATTTCAACACAACAGAACTACACAAATAGTTTGGGGGAAATCTGGATATTCTTGTAAATCCAAATAGCTTCCAACTTAACATTCATCAAACTCAACAATCAGAATATCTTAAAGAAATGAGCAAGATGATTAACATGAATTACAAAATCAATGTCATGGTTTTCTGCTAAGGAGCTTGCGAAGTCTATTAAGCAGAACCAAAACTCAATGATCTTGTGAAGTCTCTAAAGCAGAATCAAATCAATCTTCAACACAGTATGTGAAATATGAAACCTCCAAGATTGATTCGAAGAACCAAAAGTTACATAGAATTATGAAGAATCGATCTACAAAATATAGACCGTGAAATTGCACGTTGTAATCAGAATTGGAATCGTGAGAATCACAAAACAGAATCGGAGCAAGAATCACAAATTTAAATGAACAAGAATCTATGACGAAAGCAAGCAAAATCGGTAGATCGAACTAAAGAAAAACAAAAACACAATCACAATCTAGTCGAGACGAAATTGGGAAGAAATTTGAAGGAGAAATCGTTGTATCAGATGCGAAAATCAAGAGGAGAAACGAGAAATGATGCAGATCAGAAGGAAAAAAAAGCTTGTATGAAATCAATGATAGGAAAACAAAATATGATGAAAGGGATGCAACAGATCCTTCAAGGTGGATACCATATTTGCTCTGATACAATCTTAGAAAACATAGCATGCATCCAAAGAAGAGAAGGAAGAAAAGCTCAAATGTGTATTGTATTAATGAAAGTGAATATTACAAAATGATAAAAGTTACCTTCTAATGTGGTTACAATATATAACCACTACTAAGCACCTATTACTACTTGAAAGTAATATATCTCCAATGATTGTCATTCCAATGTCATATTAAATGTTTTTGTTCATTACACTCATACAGTATCAATTATGAAAAACTAGAATAAATGAGGGAGTGAAGTGATAAAAGGTAAGTGTACATTTCAAATTTCTTATAAATCAAAGGTATTTATCATCTTTTTTTTCTGGGTTCAAACATATTTCTTAATTTATACAAGACAACATTAATATTTTCTTATTAATCAAAGGTATTTCAAAGAGGAAGAAAATATGCATCCTAACAAAACCATAATCTTTTTGTTACACGTGATTATTTAACTTATAAAAATAAATAAATACATTGTTGACCTGCTTATTAGTTACTTTAATGGACATCTTCGACTCTGATGCACCTGCTTATTAGTTACTTTAATGGACATCTTCGACTCTGATGCACCTGCTTATTAGTTGCTTTAATGGACATCTTAGACTTGGCCTTTGTTTTTATACATGTCAACAAATCTGTTACTACTTTGTCTGCGGTATTGAACTTTGTTTTTGGGCATTTTCAACCTCAAGCTTTCGCAACATCGATGAACTCAGCTTAGTCTCACCTGAATCTCCAGAGACCAAATCTACAACTTCAATCTGCACAAATCCATCAATAAATATCTCTAATGTGTGACAGAAATATTTTGAGAAGTATAAACATGTTTTCTTTTAACTTTTTTAATGTAAGAAATAACAACTAAACAAAATAAACAGTAAATTAAAACCTTCAACTGTGAAAGGCCTCTCTCGGCTCTTTTTCTGTTCACGGCCAACCCACCAGGTAAAGTCTCTTTGCTATAAGAGAACCAACTCCACATTTAGTAACCAAATAACTCTATATATAGAGTTGTATATCATTTGTTTATACTGCAACTATAATCTACAATATGTCACAAAAACACGACAACAGTTTACAGAAAAAGAAGATAAGATATCCTGCTCAGGTCTAGTTCTAACGGACCACACCAAAGTTCTCTTCAAAATGGCATGCTATATCAGGTAGCAGATAGGTGTTCCTTTTGAGAAGACCCACTATATCATTTCATCTTTAATTTAAACTATTCATTTTTCTTGAGTAATAAATCAATTAGAGAAACTAGTGTTCCCTTTCCCACAACTAAGATCAAACATCTGGCTAATTTTGCTATCAAAGAAGACTTTAATTATCAAGAAACACCAATATCACAATTCACAACAGCTGTTAGGAATGAAACATCTGGTCACAAGTTAAATTTTATAACGTCTATTCATACCACTATCCAATACTAGTACAGAAAAGTATGCTATATAACAAACCTCACAATCACAGCTTCCAATTTTTCATCTTCAATGGAAGGGCCATATGGATCTGTAATTGGTACAGCTTGCACTTCCAACTCAGGCTTAATAGACTGCATGTTAGATCAAACTCATAGTCACAACTCACAACTTAAATGATAAAAAATATAATAAATCTTGCAAGAATAATCATTATATACAATTGGTGGAACACAGTTGGATGCAGATTAGTACGTCACACCTATGCACCAGATAGAAACTAACAACACAAAATTCTGCAACCTCATGCTTAAAACTATGTCAATTGAAATATCTGTTGTTAAAAGATGTGTATAAATATACCCCTTATCCGTGTCAATGTTTTGTTCAAACTAAACTACAAAAAAATGCAGGAGATTCTTCTTTTTCATGTATCATGAATTTAGAACACAACGAAAAATCGGCATTGCTTGCTTGGATTCGAACCTTTATGAAAGATTTGACATTATGTATCCTCGTCTCAATTGGTTGTATGAGTTCAGCAAACTGCATAAGTGTAAAAAGGATTATATCATAAAATCGTAATTGCAAATCTAATAGACAAGGAAACAATTGAATCCAGACAAAAAAAGAATTAAGAAAAAAATATATACTTTGTTATGATATGTGAAGAATTGGGGGTAAAAGAACCTGTTTGTTTACAAGCATAGGACCATCGCAAACTCCAATCACAACACGGTTCTTCGCCAACTGAGCAGAAGCCTGTGTACAAATTCAACCTTACGGTTACTATCTGAATATATGAAATGGATATTGAAAAGTGAAAGAAAGGAAAGGAAGCAGAGACGGTGAGAAAGAGGCGGTGGCCGTCATGCAATCGGTCAAAGGTGCCACCATTGACAACAGCTTCGTAGGTATTGGGCGGAGAGAGATTGGGAACCACCATGAGATCATCTTGAAGCGCCATAGTATAGTCAGTGTTGAAAGGTGAGAAATTGGTTGGAGTCAAAGCAAGTGTGGTGGATGTGAAATCAGAACTCAACTCTCTCGTGTATGAATAATATGGTGGAGCGGATTTATCAGTGAATGCTAATCTAATTAAATTAGGTTAATTGCACTTTTTAATTCATTATTTAATTATATTTACTAAAATGGTTTCTCTTTTTCTTAATTTTCTTTTTTTGTGATTACCTTTATTATATAATTAACGTTTTAACGGATATGAATTTAAACATGTTAAATTGTTAATCTTTTTACGATTTATTTTTGCCTTTTTGTTATAGCTCAGCCGGAATTTTTGTCTTTCATAAGGACCCCAATCCATATAGATTGTATTTAGATAAGATGATTGAAAATTTGTAAGAATTTTAAAATTCTAACTAATTTAAATAGTTTCATTGAAATTTATTTATTTTTAAATTTTTTTTTGTTTGGATGAAATATTAAAATTATTTATTATTAAATTTTTGAAATATTTTTATAAGTTATAAAATTTTTGAGTCAAATTTAAAATATGAAAAATCAGAATCAATTTGTCATTTTGAAAGAATTAATTTGTAAAATTTAAAAACGAAAAATTCATTTCCAATGGATTCATAATCCATTGGCTTAAGGGATAGATGAAGCCTTTAAACTTAACCATTATTCATTTCCAAGCAACACTTGAATTTCATTGATCCAAGCATTCAACCACCTATTGGAGTTTCTGAAAATCTTTTAGCTAATGGATTATGAATCCATTGGACTGCTTACGATGTCCTTCTCTCAACGCTATCGGTTAGTTTTGAGGGCTCCGGGTTTTGTTTTGCTGGTTTGGCTGCTGCTGGTATTTTTCTCTTTTGCAGTTGGAAGGCTTATGCCGGAAAAAGAGACTCACTCAAAGATGTCTCTTTTAGTGAGTTTATCCTTTGAAGGGAGCATATTCTAAATGAGGTTATACTTTTTGAATGATTATGTCTTCTCTTTTTCCAATTGAAAATCTATAACTTGGATCAAAAACATTATTTAAAAACATTATTTAAGATGTAAATTTGAATACAACATGAAACACCGTCTTTCTTTAACAGCGATGAAAAAAATGATCTAATACTACTAAACTCAATTATAAAAATTTAAAAATTAAAAAAAAAAGTCTAAATTTTAGCTATTCTATCCTCAATTAACGCTAATGTTCTAAAAATAACATTACATTTAATCCTTAATGTTGGGCTGGAACTTAACATATGCATCTGCTGTCTGTTTGTCTGTATTATCAAAACACTCGTTCAAGAATTCAGCAACTTGCGATAGATATACGTCGGGAAAATTTCTATAATGATCCACATGGGGAGATGAACCAAAGTTAAATGATCTCACATTTTTCCCTATCTTCCTCTGTTCCTCAATGAATGCTTCTATCGATTGAAACGGGATTACTTTGTCAGCTGTACTATACAGGTAGAGTTGAGGGCAAGGCTGGTGCTCCAAAAGGGGAGTGAAAACCTTATTTAACCTCCTGTGTTAGAGACAGAAAAAATGTGCTTAGTATTTTCCATTTTGAAGAATATATTATAACTTCCAATCAACAAAGCTGAACGTTGATGCTATTCACGCGATATTTTTATCCAAGTAGTGAGTAATATAAGATTTGGAGGGAAGACACTTACTGATTTGACTCTGGCAACTGCAAAAGAAATGAGAATATCTTCTCTAATAGTGAGAAGACCACAATTTCAATTATGGAAGGTTCATTTTGTTGAATCTTTGATTCTGGTTTAGGCTTGCTTCCTACGTCGGCTAAAGCTTGTGCGGAAGAGCTACGTTTCTTCAATATAGCAGTAGCAAAACCAGCAGCCCAGACCTGCAAGGAAACGCGAGAAAACAATTTGACCAGTCATAAATGAAAAGTTACCTGAGGCAAGTAAGAATAAAATTACAACAAGGACTTGAGAAATGAAAGCCTTGCATTAGATCCTAATAAATAGAACCAAAAAAAAAGCAGAAATGATTGTCAAAACATGTGTTTGGTTTGGTTTCACAGTGGAGTATCAGAAATTCGGAATTGATTTTTGGCTCCTATTAGATGTGATTTTAGTAGAAATACATGTTTGGTTGCTCTTAGAAAAACTTGATTTTGCCTCACAAGTTTTCTCCAGTAATGACAAAAGGTAATGCTGCAAATATTTGCATTGAGTTTTCATCAACATTCAACCATAAAACATTTCAATTCAAAGTTGAAAGAAAGCAAGACTAGACTCAAAGAGCTAGAGAATACCTATATAGATAAGATATTGCCGAAAGAGACTCAAGTTTTCATATTTTTTTAATTTCTTTATGAACATGTTTGAGTCTTAGAAGTACTATATTTATAGACTCCTAAGAAAGTACTATGTTTCATTTATGAACAGAATAAGGATAAGAAGCGCAAACTACGCGAAAGAAAGCGTTGAGAGAGTGATGAAACATTAGGCTGCTGCTTTATTTTTTTTGCCTTATATCATTTAGTAAGTGAAATTTATTGGACTTGACGTCGGTTTCATAATTTAAATTGTGTATTATGAGTTGGATTTTAGGTTTAGCTGGGTAATGTTTAATTGTGTATTAATAAGTTTTTTAAGTAATAATGATGTATATCAGGACTTCTAAACATTCAATACGATGTTGTTTGCAGAGCATCCATTGAACATTTTGATTGTTAAATAAGTTGCTGAATAGGAATGACTTATTTCTCCTTGATGTCTCAAGAGTATCTTGCTTTCAGAGCCCACCAAAGAGTAGCATTATGCTTAACAAGCTAAATTGTTGACAAAATTGATTATAGAGTCATGTAATTGATTTTTACATGTTTGAATGTATCCAATCATAAATTATTTTATGTTCAAATCACTTTTAGCCAGAATATATTTTACAGAATCAACAAGCAATTAAGCAACATAAAAAAAAATGCTTAACAATTCAAATTCTTACTACCTGAGGATTAAAAGGTTCTGCACCACCAGAATCAACAATGCTTCCTTTAACCTTCTCCATTACATGATGACTATCCATAAACCTACCAAGAATTGAACCATACCTACCACAAAAACAACAAAACAAACCAGATAAACAAAAATCACACAAACCACAATCACCAAAAAACCATTCCCAAATCCACTTACACAAACCAACCAGTGTTACTGAAAGTGTGAAAAACCAAACACCTTTCTCTCCCATCTTTCTCCTCAGCAGAAACCCACGAAACCAATTGGTCAGCAAACATGGAGATTCTCTCCTCAAGCACATGCCCAAGGTCAAACCCAAGAATCTCCTTTACATCAACAACGAAAGTAACCGCATTCACGCCACGTGAATTATACCACTCAGCGTATCTTCTGAGGTGTCTGGTTTTCGCTCCAAGCCACCCCAACAAAACCACAGTAACAACACGGTTTTTGTTACTTCCGTAAAAACCCTCGTTCCCGTTTTCAAAAGCTGGGTTCCAAACAATATTGCCAGATTGCGAATGTGAGATAAAGGGGTTGTTGAGAATCTTATTGGGTGTTGAAAAGTTGAGATTTTGAGAGGATGTGATGGAAGAGAAGAATTTATGAGAATCCAAGTTTCCTGGAATTGGTGAATGGGAAGAACGAATAAGAGTTGAAGAGATTTTGGGTATTTTTCGAAGAGGAAGGCGTTGGTAATTGTAAGAAGAAAAAGCAGGTTTGGTGGTTAATTGGCGAGTGAAAAGGGAAGGATTGAGGGTTTTGAGATGAGCTTCCATGGCAGAAGATGAAACGACGAAAGAGAGTGTGTGTTTGAGTTTCATTATAATAAAAAGAGATTGAAAAAATGAGTTATATTAAATGGTGAGGGTTTGATTTGTTCGTGAATGTATACATTAAATGCATAGTACTGTGATTTGTGGTGATGATGATGATAGATGGGTGAGAAAATGTGATTGGAGAAGGAGAGTGAGTGAGTGTGGTTTGATTTGTGACACTCGCTCACTGTCTCAGGCATTTATTTTCAGCGTGATTTCATTAAAAACTCAGATAGTACTAGTATTGGTCAACTCAAGGCTAATCTTGTGGTGCAGAATGGTTTATTTTTAAAGATTAATTACTATACCCTAACATCATTCGTTAAGTTCAATTAGAAAATGCCAAGAAAATCAGAAAACTAGTTGTTAGATTGCTGAGCCGAATGTTAATTGGTGGAAATCATTTAGGATCATGGCGGTGTCACGGTGGATTGCGGTGGTGGACTTTTTTGACAATTGCCATGGCTAATTTGTGAAGTATGGCGCGGTGCCATATAGCAGATTTTTTGTCTTCCTGCCATGAAACCGTAGACTTATATTGGTTGTGACTTGTGAATTGTGTCACAAACATAAGATGAGCTTTGGTGGCTCAACATTGAAATTATTTAGTCAATATGTCTTCTAAATCCATTTATTACGTGTTTGTTTGATTCAATTGAAGGGAGATAAGGGGAGTGAAAGGAAGTGGAGAAATTATTATATATATATATATATATATATATATATATATATATATATATATATATATATATATATATATATATATATATATATATATATATATATATATATATATATATATATGAAAGAGATGGAAGGAGATGTATTTTATTTACAAATATGTTTAATTCATAAGAGGAGGAAAGATATTTTAAAATTAATTTATATTTTTATTTTTCTAATTTTATCATAAGGCTCATGATATTTATCATTTATAATTCAAATACAAATTTAATGACGAAATATAAAATATTCAATCAGATGATCTTAAAATTTTTTATAAAAATTATAACGATTATAATTTATAATTTTAAGAAGATTATCAAGTATAATAAAATCGAACAAAAATTATTATAAACAAAAACATTATAATAATTAAAAAGCAACAATGAAATATAATAAATAAAATAAAAGGATTTAAACACATATAATAATAATAATAATAATAATAAGATGAATATATAAAAAGT